CGGCCCCGGGGCAGCCCAGTGCGGGACCCCGGGGCGGGCTCTGCCCTGCGGGCGCCTGGCGGCCTGGTCACAACACGCAGCCTCCCCGCCTGCGGGGTGCAAGCTTCATGTCGACCCCGGGGGGGGGTTGGAAACAGCCGGGGCACAGGCCAGAGGCGCGGGGACAGGGGCTGGAGCTGCCCCCGCATGCAGGCACCCTCGGCTGGGCCTGGGACAGCCTCGAAACGCCCTGCTCAGTGCAGCCAACCTATTTGGCCTAAGACTTGGTGGGATGTCAGCTAAAGAGGAGGTTTGGCCTCTGGAGTTATCTTACGTTTAATAATCAATAGTCAATGGTAGTAATAGCCATGTAATAAAATCTTAAAAATGCAGGTTAGTATTTACACCCCAAACCCTGACAAGAACGGGCATGCGCTGGCGGAGCAACAGGGAGCACACTTTGATTCCTGCACAGATGATTCCCAGGCCGTGTCTGCAGCTTCAGTTATGTGAAGGGGAGACGGAGTAGAAGAAACAAACAAGCAAAACATAAAAACAATAAAAACATCCTTCTTTACACCCAAGTGAAACTCTTTTATCATAGCTGTTCCCTCTTAACATAGCAATTCTCTTACCTTCATTTGAAAATGAAGGGCAAAAGTCTTACTTCAGCTGCACTGTCAAAAAGCTCTTAATTTATGCTGATTTTACTAAGTGCAGAGATTAGCCCACATTTGTAATGCAGCTGTGGGCCAGACTGGAAACAGTGAAGGCAGTGACCTTGGTTATAGTGGCTGGATATTTAAACAGATATTTGATATTTCTAAACAGAAATGTCAAATGGTGGCATTTTGGAGAGAGTAATAATTTGTGGGAGTTTTCACTGACCAAATTGAATGAAATGTTCAAATCAAACATAGTGGGAAAGGAACAAAAATGTTTTTTAGAACCCTTTTTTATCTTCATATTTTTTATATTATAACGGGCATTTTTGTATTATTATTATCATTATCATGTATATGCATGATCTTTTTCACAATTCTTTATCTCCTCAAAAACTAGATTTATAGATTTGGTTCTGATTTGCCCTTGGTGTAGCTCCAGGAAAGTCAGTGGCGTTGCATCAGATACAGTTTGTTTCTAGATCTTTGTAACAAGGCAAAGGTCTGTTTTCTTTTCACCATGTACTTGAAACTCTTAGTTGTAATGTTTCATTAAGACTGAATATTTTTTTTTAAATTGCTCTCCCACAAATTATTACTCTCTCGTAAATGCCGTCATTTGACGTTTCTGTTTAGAACTAAATATTCATCTACTGTAACCAAATTCATTGCCTCCAATCTGTCCAACAATTGCATTACAAATTTGGGCTAATCTCTGCTCTTAGTAAAATCAGCGTAAATTAAGAGTACTTGATAGCGCAATTGAAGAAAGAGTTTTGTCCTTTCCTTTCTAATTAGTCTGAGAAAATTGCTATGATAAAAGGGAGCTGCTACTGCTAGAAGGGTTATTTGAGGAACTGGCAAAACCAATTTATGATTTTTCTGAAAAGATCCTGGATTTAAAAGCTAATAAAATTATAACATGGTCATACTAATGTTTTTCTGCTACCTAAACTATATACATTAAAAATAATGTTGTTTAGAATATTGCTAATGTAACATGGTTGCTGATCTTTGTGCTTGTAGTGTGCATTGGCAAGAACTGCTTTTCATGGAGAGCATGCTATAGGTAAAAAAAAACACAAAAAAACGTGATTCTCCCCAAAGTTCATTTTAGGTAGCTCAAATTCTGATCAAATTCTATTTCTTTGCTGTCATAGGGTAATAAGTGCTAATTCACAACTGATGTAATAAGAACAGATACCTGTCATTTTCCCAATTAATTAATTCAATAATATTTTTTGTGTGACATTACTTTGGAAATCATAGATTAGAATAGCCCCTTTTTCATCTGGGAACACTGACAATCCTAGCTAGAATTTGCAGTTTGTTTCACTTTGTGAAGTAGAAAAATAATGAGGAATATAGAAAATAATCATGAAGATCCAGAAGATTTTAACGCATTTTTAGAATTTGATAATGGTTAGGATCTATTATTATCTATTTTTGCCACAATCAGTGTGTATATGTTTTCGTGTGTGTGTTTAGAAAACAAAAGTACATTTCACACTAAACAGGTAGAATGATTGTTTTTGATCTTTTTGAAATATGCATAATTCATGTAGAATACATCAGGGAAAAGACAAAGCAATAGTATTTTGGTCTGATTTGTGGGAATAGGACCATACTCTGAATTCTTGATAAAGAAGATATTCTTACAGAGTTCAGTGAAAATAATGAGTGTATAAGAAATATAGAATACAGCTGCTTAGGTGGATTGTATATGACTATGAGGTCCATCAAGACAGGTAAAGGGAGAAATTTCTGTTAAAATAAAATTTTATATATAAATACAGATTGAGAACATGATATAATTGTGGTACCTGTGTGCTCAGTACATTACCAACTATGAGGTTCATCACAGCCTCTTAATAGTTTAACCACCTTTTCTACACAGCACAGCTGTCAAAAGGCTCGTTATATTATAGGGGTACACTAATAAAGATTTTCTTGGCCAATACCAATAGCTGATTATTAATCAGCCATATAAGCTGATACCGATCCTGTAGCCAATTTATAGGAATGAAGCCAGGCAGCTTGGAGAACATCATCCTGCTGGTAAGTCTGTGGTGGGGAAGGGGCGTGGGGGAGGGAAGAGGAATGCGGGGTGAAGGTTGAGGCCCCCCCCAGTGAGGGAGGAAGTGGGGCAGGTGCTGCTCATCCAAGGCAGTGAATGGGACCCTGGGGTTGGGAGCAGGATGGAGCTGTGCCCCCCTCAGAGAGTGTGGGGGGGGGGAGGAGGGAAGGCAGCTTCTTGCCACTTTGTGCACCATTGGAGGAGGCATGAGAGGCATGTGTCCCCCTGGATTTGTGCATGGGGCAGAGATGGGCTTTCCACTGTGGGTTCAGGGCCAGGGGTAGTGCCAGCCACTTTCTGGTGTGGGGCTGGGCTCGGAGCGGGCTCAGCTCTTTGGGGTGGGTGGCAGTGGCAGTGCTTGGAGGGGTGACTATGTGGGGGCTAAGGTGAATTTTGGCCCCCAAAGCCCACCCCCAGTGTCGCCTCTGCTCGGGCACTCCACTCTGCTGCCTTTCCCTTGGGAGCCCCGCACTGGCCATGCATCCCCTGCCCACCCTGCAGTGCAGGGCTCCTCAGGAAAAGGCAGCAGACCAGGGAGCCCCCAAGTAGGGGCGGTGTTAGGAGGGATTTGGTGTCTGTAGTC